TACCGTAAGTGTGTAGGCGAGGCGTACATTTCCATACGTCACTACAAGGGTCCTTTCAGTTGTTGGTTGGATGACATGGAGATCGTGTGACATAAACCGCTGTCAGCAGAAGCTCTACCTCCACCTAGTGCCAGAGTTTTTTCTAATATTATCCTGTCACCACTGTAATAATTCATGAAATAAGATTCCGGTTGACATGGTTACCAATGTATTTAACGGTTGTATTCATTTCTATAAGTCATTTTATCGTGAGTAATGTTATAGGGCTTTGTAATTTTCACTTCTCATGGAAATGAGTTGGTGTTATTTAAGTACTTTATGCTTTGAAATTAACCTCGTTAAGTGAATTTGTTTTTGCTAATAACAACGGAAATATTGTATTTGTCTTACCCATTTGTAGCCCATTTTCTGAGTACGCGAAAACCAACTCGGTTGGTACCGATTGTAACTACAGTGTGGATGAAGTTTCCCAATGTGAAAGGCTAATAACAGAGTCAATACGGGTCGGTGGAAAACAACTCAAGCTGACAATCCGCCGTTTAAATTTACATCCTTCACACCCCGTTCGAAAAACACTGTGGCCACGTCTTATTAGCGCTAAATATTCTATCACTCTTCCGGTAGGTTATCCTACATACTCTCGTACGGTCTTTATTTGTTATTTACCCTGCACCAATCCATAAGTTTCAGTTGACCAGATGAACGTTTGCTTTCCGTATATTTATTTCGGTACCGATATCAGATCGCTGCTTCCATTTATGATCGAAGTTATTCCACACTGCATGTGAAGGACCTTGAAAGCTACATCTTATTATTTGTAAAGGCCTGCCGAATAAGCGGGTGAAGTGTTGAATGCATGTCGAGGTAATGAACAGCTTTCACCCGATTTTTTATCCATTCCAATTACCGGTTCCCAGCTTATCTTCATCGTGAAATTCCGCCATTCTCCTGTCGGTTACAATAAGGTCTGTAGTAGTCGATCATTGAGCCTTAGATTTTCATTCAAACCAGCTGACTAGAACGTGCTTCACTCGGCGGTTATAGAAATCCTTTTTATGAAGAATTTACTGTCAGAAAAGACGAGAACAAGCAATCAGTATATCGTTGATAAACGGTTTGTATAGTGGAATTTAGTCTGGTCTCACTGATGGTCATGATAAGTTGGCTAGAATTGTCCGTAAGAGGGTAACCGTGGCGCCTCCCCCATTAACTTATCTAAGTGCTTTTTTTCGGAAACTAAACGAACATCTTCGGCAAGCAGTACATTAAAGGATTTCAAACTCTCTGACGATACGCTTTTCTTACTGACGGTACATTTCGCTTGCGGAAAGCTTCAGATTCGTTTATTATCAGGATGATCTTTCTAACTGTATGGCACAGGAATACATCGTTCACTGGTTTACTGTCATTATAATCATCATCAGAGAGCAAATACTGGGAAGCGATTCAAACCGATCGCTGCCGGTCCCAATATATTGGATTTATTTGCCCCTTTCTCCGCGTAATCTTTTGGCCTCAGGTTGATTACCCAACCCGGAGCTGCAGCTGCAAACGAGGCCCGGTGGCTCTGTGCAGTACCTACTAATGTAGCCTACACATCCAAACTTGATGAGAACGAATTTTCTATTGCAGTTTTGTCCATTCAGGAAAGTCCACCTCAGTGTCGCCAACATGCTCGCTTCATCTTACTTTTTTCAAACAACGCAAACATCGCTAGATATCTACAGCACTCAAAAATCAGAACCGACCGTACAATGGCACAATCTTTCAACCTCAATGAAACTTAATGTCTATGCCTAAGCTGTTCCATTTGACTGTACGTCGCTTGAGCCTTGGATATGCGTCCGTTGACCGTCACTTGTCACGCAACTGCCTAGGTAGGAGAAGCAATCCACCATAGTTTCTTTTCGAAAAATTTAGTTTGGTTGGGCGGTACACAATCTTGCAGCATCGCTCTGCACTTTGAAGGTGCACAGTACATGTCGATTGTGCTTCGTTCATCCTCCATAAACAGATTTTGTTGTCGACGTACATCAAATTGTGCTGTTTTTGCAGCTGTAATTGGCCAGATGAATCGTCCTTGAAAATGTTCTACCCAGTGATCAAGCGGCTGCCTCTTGTGAATGTTTTGTAGAATTTTATCTCTGAGTGTCACTGACCGGGATCCGCCGATCTTCTGCGTTGCGTACCAGCAAAGAGACCTCAAGTTCAATTCCCTGTCGCGTCGGTGGATTCACACCGCTCATGTGACCCAATAAGGCCGAGCCAGCTGTACAGGGTTTCCCAGCTTTGCAGTCCACGCTTGATTTGACCCGTACACAACGAAATCTACTGTATAGTTAAGTAAAGATTGAAGTATCGGAGAAGTAGCTCACTTGCCAGTACCCACCCTGCTTAATGCAGCGGACAGTGGCCCTAATCATTGTGCCCGACAGCCGATGCAACGTGAAATTCCTTTTAATTTTTCTGTTCGTGGGAGCTTGTTAGAGGGATACTATCGGGAGTCCTGCTACCAAATAACAGTCCCGTCATAGTTCATAGCTAAAGCCTTTAATTATGATAAAAACCTGGCCTCAAGATAGCGATTTAGGCGAAGTAGAGGCCCATCAACTTCATTCTATTATTCTTTCATCAGTTTCACCGAGACGCCAATTCGAGTCACACTCCCTACGTGGAGGACCGAAAGGGTGAACTCTGTCTGGCCATTATCCCCGGTGCCCCATAGCACACCTTTAGTNTTAGTCTTTGTGCAGTCAAGTGACTCCGGGGAGTTTATTTACCATTTGATGATGATGGATTGACCCTGGAATCCACGTATCCTTGTTGGATAGATTCCCTTTCTAGCCGTTAGATCCGGTAGTAAATCTAATCTGTCCATTGGGAAGTACTGGTTTTCGCATGTTATGGACCATCTCACAGGTCTATTAGACCTCGGTTAGCCTCAACTTGGGTTATTTCGCCTGTTATTCAGTTCGGCGATGTGTGACCGCAGATGTATGCCTTGACATTTTTGAGCCATAGGTGCGAATAGGGTAAGTGATTGAGACCAAGGGATACAATCGACTGTCAATTCAGAGATGCTACTCCTATGAAGATACCACCAACAATCCTGACGCAAGCTAACCATGAACCTAATTTTTAGTTCCTAACCATTCACTCCACTTGATGAAACCATTACTGATTGTTCTAGTAATCCATTCAGATGAAATCCTCCGAACATGCTGGATTTAACCGCTTGTCTATCAAACGCTTTCTCGCATAATTTCAGATTTAGGTAATGGTTTCCGGTAAAGTCATACTGATGGAAACAAAAATGAAATCCAGCGCAAACATTGCTTTGTTATTTTCATTGAGGTCGTCTCATATCTTCCTCACCGGTCGCTCCAGCAGACCCACGTGATACCGCGCAGACAGTTATTTTAGGACATAGTCTGCGTTTCCCCTCTCTGTATAGCAGCAATGTCGCTGCACTATTTAGCATAACTAGTGGGACGGTTTTAGCATTCAATCGGGTCTCCGCCGAATTTTCGGATGGGCATGAACCAACATACAGCTCACTGGGATCTTCGCCCTCTCGCACGGAGCCTGTCTCTGAAAGGGTAATATTCGATGCAGAAGATGCTGATAATGTTCGATAGGGAAGCAACGTTGTCATCGCGATATTTGGCAAGTATTTGTGAAGTTAAAAACACAATATGCTACCACAAGATTAGGTTGATTTACCTCTCCCATACTATTTGAGATTAACTGGACAACGTCTATTACTTTGGTGGTTTTATTTAACCAGACGGGTGTATTTCGCATACATTTTCCACCGCGCATACAGAAACCTCGCCTGCTATTCCAACTTCTATAATGTGACACTGCCGTGACATTTCCCTTCCACACTCCTTGAAAACCGGCATGCGAGTGAGTAACTCGACGCCAAACGTACCTGTCATTGCACACAAAGTTCAGTTCAGTTTAAACAACCATTAAGTATGCATTTCCGTGCTACGCTTTTGGTTGCTTTCTTTTGGCTGCCCATTTTGGTGAACAATAAGAGGAAAACAGGAAGGTTGAAAGTAGAATCTAAGAGAAAATTGAGAAGTTCAGTGGACTAATGATGCAAAGAAATTGAGAAGATGCACGAACGCCACTGTTTACCACACCCAGCCATATCACTCAATGTGTTTGACCATCGGTTAGTAGTCAGTGCATGAATAGCGTTGAAAACTCAAATGAAATTAAAAAACACCAGTAAGTACGTCACTTGGAAGAAAAAAAACAATGCCATTATTTCAAATAAAATTAGTAATCATGCCTTATGTATCTTCGTTTCTCGTTTCGAAAGGTGGTTTTGCCGTATATTGCCATATATTCCCGTCTGATAAATTTAATGGAATTCCTTGATCGGAAAGAGCTGTCTCAATTTGTTTGCCTTGTTTGACGCGTTTCGCGAACAGATACGCGTTCTCAGTTGAGATGAAATCCCCCAGTGTCGTTTCTAGCTCTCAGTCGCTTTTCTCCTGCTTATTTTTCTTGTTTCTATACTTCTATAGTCTGACGATGTTGACTCCAGTGAATTTGGTCCGACCACGGATGCGGATAGCAGTACATCAGAATTGGCCGGCTACGAGCTCAGTGATCAATTGCTGCTTCCCGTATTTTTCCTCAGCGAGGCCGGACAGAAACGGCTGCGTGACATTCTGCACCAAGTCGCACGTGGTCATCCTGAACTTGTCTACGTGCCTCAACTGTGGCCTCTGCTAGCTTTATTCCTACACTATCATTCCGCCCCGATTGCACGAGCCTGCTTGCTTGGCCTGTTACGTCAGTCGGACCTGATCACACAGACAAAGGCTGCATGGATTGTTCATTCACTGGCCCTGGAACGTCTCGGACTGCAAGGTTTTGCCTCCAAAGAGGCGAAACAAATGACTAAACACAAAATGGAACTAAATCCGAACGAAGTGCGAATAAGCTTGGGTCGTTGGCCAGTTGCTCTATGGCATCTGCCACTTGGCTATTTAGTTCGCCTGGTCGATTGCTTCCTGCTCGAGGGTCCAAAAGTGTTTTTCCGTGCCGGGTTGTTGGTGAGTGTTTTCAACTTCAATGGTGCCAAAACTAAATCGTGGAAGTTACCGTGAACTGTGTTATGAATTACCTGAGTAGTTTTAACATAGAATGAGTCAGTAAGTGGTCAGAATTGCTTTCTTATTTTGAAACTAACTCTCAAAACCACGGTGATCTATTTTAGATTAAGGTGAATTGGGAACCATAGTATTTTGGTTTGAATTAATAGACGAGGTAAAGTTTGATTAGAGTCTGTACGACATTATTTTTTTATTTTTATTTTTTTTATTACACACTTTAGTGTGATAAACAGCGGACGGGGTTAACTCCATAGTCACGATGACCTGCTGTTCACTGATAGAAACCGGTAACCTAAGCCCCAGGACTTGGAGTGGCGTGGTATTGAACCGGACGACAGAAAAGCTGTCTGCCACCAAAGTTGGGTGACGGTGGTGGGGTTCGAACCTCGGACCATAGGGTTCAAAGAGAACCGATGACGGTGACTAAATTACTACGCCGCCACCACCATATGCTCACTGTGAAAGGGGGTCACAGCTTTCAGGTTCTCAGTCCAAATTTACTCAACCCGGGTTATACCAACTAATCGACCACTTCTGTCCCCTAATTCGAGCACTTCAGAAGATAGTCAATTGCGTTATATTACGTGGATGGTGTTCACTCATCTCATTTTGACTAGCTCACTCATTTCAAATTTTCACGAGTTCTGTCATTCACCATTGTTTTGCACATCGCCTTTTTTTACTCATAACTACCTGTAGGGGATTTTCGAGATCAATAAAGTTGATAGTATTTTGAGTAGGCCTCAATTCCGATATCCCTTTTACTGAATTATCCTCCATTTTCCACCGTTAAATTTTGGATGTGCCCATTTTATGGTCAGAGGCGCTGTACACTGCGTATGATTTCAGTTTGTTGTAGGTGTGCTTATCGCTTCTCTAGAGTTTACTCATTCCCCATCTGTGAAATACATTTCATTTGCGTTTGGGTTGATAACATCCTCGTTCTATCCATTCATTTGTTCATTCACTTCCTCACTCACTCCAGTTCAGTTCATTGTAGTGAAACAAATTGATATCTGTTCAGTCCCATAACCGGTCTACTAAACACCCAAGCTCTTGACAATGTCCAAAGGGTCTATTCCCATGGCATCCCCACCGACGGAATAATGCCAAAAATCAGCATCACTTTTTCAACTACCTCTCTGGGTTACTTGTTTATTGGTTGCCATCGTTTTGACGGGCAAATCCTCCGTGTTTAAGCCTCTGAATAAGTGATCGGTCTTGTTCTGATGTGTTCTACCATTTTGTTTCAGTATTTTATGGTAAGTGATCCAAATAATACATAAAGTGTTATTTCATATCTGTGCGAATTTTTCAGCAGGTCAATTTCTGATAGCACTGCATGCTGTGACTCAGATATTCTGGTTTCTGACAAATCTTAGTCAAAATAATAATAATAAACGCCATCTTGGTTAGGATTTGGTGGAAACAGTGCACTGAATGGTTAGAACTTTATTGTGCAAGATTTCAGACGCTAAGTGACATACAACATCCCGATAGAAGCCGTCACTGAATGACTGTATGCTACCCAAACAATGGTTGTCTAACGTAGACTACGTGTTGTGTATGAACAGTTTTGCTGGGGCATGTGTTACGCATGTCACCAAATAGGTTACCACGGCGAGCGATGTTCGTCGAAGAAGATACAGAGTGGAAAAAAGCCAAGGGTGGTCAAGCTAAGACCTGGCACGAGGGTATGAAAACCCTAACCAGGAAACTGGGTCACATAGGTCCTGTTAGGCTCCCTGGCTGGGGACCTCAGGATGATCGTAACCGATGGTTAGCTACACTGAGCGATATGGCTGGGTGTCGTAAACAGTGGCGTTCGTGCATCTCCTCAATTTCTTTGCAACCTTAGACCACTGAACTTCTCCATTTTCTTTTCGACTCCACTTTCAACTTTCCTTTCTTCTCCTATTCTTCATCCCAATGGGCAGCCAAAAGACAGCAACCAAAACCAGCGCTCGAATATGCGTGGTTAATGGTTGTTCAAACTGAAACTGAAACTGATGTACAGTTTTAGCAGCCCTGTCATAGCGAACTTAGGCCTCGATTGCTTTTGCATCACACAAAATAAGATGATAACTTACCATAACTCCCTGCTTGTTGATTTGCCCACGGATTGTTGATCCCCATGCAGGGACGGGGACTAACATCACAGTCGATCCCGTTCATCATTGTCTGCTCCCTTTTATTCGCTGATGTCCGATGTAACCCGAGTCGAACTGTCCTAGTTATTCAAACTATTATCTAATGCATAGTTAACTGCCCAAAACTATCCTGTTTTGTACTGTGCTTACTCCTCTGAGCTGTTTCAAATTCAAATTTCATATCGGAAACTGCTGCAGAGATTCCGCTCACAACTACCCATCATGACTCATCCTCGCGGATCGACCCTCATCCATTTCGTTTACTCATACGAATCAGGATTAGTCCGATTCCAAAGGGACACCATAAATGGAAACCATCAGCGTTTTAGTAAATTAAGAACTGAACTCATTTTCCGATCCGGCTTTTGAGCGTTTTGACACGTGGTGATGCTGATGAATGTGGAGTGTCATGGCTAACTGAGACGAACCCACATAATGTGTGTGTGTAGCGATTGCGCACACCACATGATTCAGCATGTACTGTCCTTCATGCCACTATGTATGGATGATCACACTCGATGCATGTGGATCCCTCGATTGAATTCCTGTTTGTCGTACCCACAATCACGCGGTCGCCAAATGGGAGTTTGTGTTCATGCATTTGTACTTTGACCTTTTTGCCTATCGTATCACTTGAAGTGAATTAACGTGACGCTATTCGTGAATTTATTTGATGCATCTAGTCCTAATGCATTTCAGTTTCACTGGAAGTTTGTGGTTGGGAGAAATACAATGGCAATGAGTAAGTGCGTCAGCGGTACTTCGACCCCGCTGTTGCTATTACTACATCAAAACAAAGACCGACACGCAATAATTGAATCGCTGCACACTCCATTCACCTACCGGTATTGTATATTAGCCCGATTGAGTGTTAAGTGCGTGATATATATATCATAATAAGTAGTATATGATTGACCAGACCAAACTTCCCTGGAAGCATACGACCGGTTTCGCGGTTCTTGCTGCTCGTCAGGCATGCGTATCCGATAATCTATATCTATACTATATTATATTATATATTATTATATATATATATTATATTATATTATATGTACGCCGGGCGTCAGTATCTCCACCTTGCTCCTAGCGAATACGATTAAACATCTCAAATAGCCTCTACTGAGGAAGCCCTATTCACTGCTTTCTCGTGGCGGAGGTTTTTCCCACCAAAGTGAGAGGACGTAAAGCCAATGACCGGAACTATAACCGGGTCGGTGAACCACTGGCAGTTCACCTAGGGTAGTTGACTAAAACTCTGATGTCAGTCCANCCACACCTTCTTGGCTCGATTGGGTATCCAAGTTTATGGACGCCTTGACCATTTGACTCTGTTCGAAGGGCGTATGATCCGATGAACTGGACACCAGTCTCCAATAAATTGCGGTTTTCACGTTCCGCCCGGCTACCTTGCTGGTCAGGTCTTGGCTAGCTGAAGGCTTCGGTTGTGAATTCCCTAAGAAAATTCACCTGCTTTGGCATGCACAACCTAGCAGTATATATATAACACCAATCTTTACAGATACGGCGCCAAAATAACCATGTGTGAACGAAAAATATAGGTAAAAAGCGGGAAAAGTAAAACAGTCAAATTCGGGGAGTAACATGCCCTCGAGCAAACCATGGACATGTTTTCTCTAATAGAGATTATTATACCGTGATTCCTTTGGCACACAGTCTGAACTCAGACGTGTGTGATAATAAATTAACACAATAAATCAATATCTAGAGGACCCTCGAAAATTATTGTGTTCTAAAAAGCGCAATTCAAAGTGTTAGTTTAGACACTGCTGGCCTCAAACGATCAAACACATTATAGAGGAGATCTGTAATTTTTAATTATTGTATCTCCTGTGGTTAAAAACGGAGATATCGATTTAGTCGTATTATAATCTGACGACTTTGAGGTCTCCGAAATGCTCACGAATGTGAATTAGACAACATAAACTTCATTTTCATGTCCATACAAATATAAGAATGGTTTGACAAAGGATGACTAAATACGCATACCTGACGAACGGCAAAGACCGAGAAACCGGTTGTGGTTCTGGGAAATTTCGACCAGTTATTAATATGCTACTCTCTATATACATGTATGTATATAAACATATATCTTATGTGCTCACGGGCGTATGCGATACGCATGTGCAAAAACTCAACACAGCGTGTATGAGGGAATGGTACATTCTTATAAGTCACAGGTTCACTTCAATGGGAAGAACTTTTTTATGTATGTATGCATGAATCAATCGTGTGTCCGAGCAATCATGAGCTTTATCCGCCGCACACGAATGTGGAACTCAGGTCAGATTACAAGTTTACTGGTGGTGTAAACAATGACTACTGTCGTGTCGGAGAAATACAGCATCTATTTCACAGTTCCGTGATTATCACTCGGTTTTCCCCGTAATTCAAGAGCCCGTGACTCATCGCGGTTGAACAAATCTGTTCAACTCTATTGCAAGTTTTTTAATTACGGGTTAACTCCGCCATGAACCTTAAACGGTACTTTTCAAATAGTTTTACCTACTCCCCAAACTAATTTATATATATATATATATATATATATATATATATGCCGTAGAATTGAGCGGTCCATACCTGTATATTCCGATATCCGTATATCAAGCCCTCTTTGGGTTTATTGT